TTCAATTGTTATTTATAGTATAAAATAAAGTATAAAACTGCTGAGTTTAAAAAACGCGTTTAATTTAAAAATGAAATCATTTTAATTTAAAGTTTGAACATCTATTTAATCCGTTATTTAATTTTGAGTTTTCATAATATTTACCTTGAAGAAATGTGTTTACTGCATTTTCTGGATGTTACAAATAAATTAATAAAGCAGTAATTATTGTTAAATTATGAGGAGTCATGTAGCATTGCCGGCATAATGTATAAGACTGCAGAGTGCTGGATTATATTTTTTTCACGCTTTGTTTAGCAAAGACCGAATATTTGTATGGTTAAAGAGGTAGCAAAGTGAGGTTTGAGGAGAGTAAGAACTTAATGTTAGTTCTTCCCATTCTTAAACCTCATTTTCCTATTACAGAGAGGTAAAAAATAAGTTACTTACCTCAGTCACTTTGAAAGACTAATTCTCATTATTAAAGAACTTACCAGAAAATGAAGGAAGAAACTTCAATGAAATTTTTAGCCCAATAAAATTATTCTTCTGTTTATAAATTCAAATTAAAACAAATTAAACCTTGTACAGACTAGTTTTTAACTGCGTCTGTAAACTAAAATTTCGTTTGTTAAAAAAAATTGTTATTTATTACTGCACAGCACTAAACATCATTCATTACTAATATAATAGTGTAACAGATCAAAAAGTATTTTTTTCTTTTGCAGTTTCAAAATATAGTTATTTCTATGCTAAGAACTATCGATGAATTTGATAGAATACTTTTATAACTTGATATTTCTGATTAGTGCCTCAGAGACGGGTAAGTGATTAGTGACTGATTGCCGTACAGAAGGGCTCACGTTCGAATGCCAGAGAAGGCATGGACGTACATCATGCCCATCTGTTCATAGGATAAATGTCTTCGTGAAAGATTTTCTGAGTTAACCTGTAGCGTAAATAATATTTGTGTTCAAAGATATTAGAAAAGTATCTAAAATAATGTTTACAAAATATATGATGTAGCAATTAGAATTTAATCGTAAACACACTTTCAATATGAAACTCAAAACGGCTGAAAACATGTGCATATAATTTGTAAGAAAGTACTCTGATCAGTAGGCACTGTGAAACAACAACAAAAATTTGAAAATATTATTACTTAATACTTACAGCCAACATATACAAGACAAAAACCAGTGTAAGCATAACAATTAAATTTTCATATGCAGAATAGGTAATCCATAGAGTAAGATTTCAATTCTTATAACATGACTTGCGTGTGGTGCAAGATTACTTTAATATTTTCAGATATGAACTTCCATAAAAGGTAAGTACTGAAGATATCTGAGAAACAACATCCTCAAGAGATCTTTATATATCCCGGGATATTACGACTTGAACAGGACATCCTTAAGATGTTGATTTACGAAGTCCTCAGGATATCTGAAAACCAACATCCTGAGGAGATCTTCATACATCCCGGGACATTGAGACTTTAATAGGATATCCTCAAGATGTTGACTTAAGAAGTCCTCAGGATATCTGAGAATCAGCATCCTCAGGATATCCTAACTTCTTCCCGGGACATTGCGACTTAAATAGGATATCCTGAGGATGTCTTGTGTTATGGGGGTTAAAAAATTTAATTTCATAATCATTCATTTTCCTTACAGCTTTCTTTTTTTGATTATGTATTAAATTTAATGCTTATAAAAAAATTTGTAATTCCTAGCAGTAGATATTCATGAGACAGTAAACACCGTCCCCCTTATGCCTGCCAATAGCATTTGTTTGCTCCGCTTTTTATCTTCCCACTTAGCACTCCCACCAAGTGAATTCAGCTTAGTTAGACGGAGGACACTGAAGGCAGAGGTTAGCGCTCCAGACAGCAATGACAAAGTGAATTTTTCCACAGCGTCTAGTTGTAGCTATCATCTAACTGTTTCACGCATCAGCTATGATTATTCCATCTACAACATTCAATAGCTATTTTTAGGACTGTTTCATTAAATTTTTAGGACTCTCATGATATGCTACGCACAACATCTTACATTGCTAAACACAGGGTAGGAATTAGTTCCAGGAACCTGACTGCGTGACTTCGTCACTTAAGATAAGAAGTGCAATAGCCAGGCGTCGAACAACACTACTTCAGAGAGCCGGATTATGTCATGCAAGTTCAAATGCTAATTCCGGCATATCAGCGGAACTAGGAACTAGACAAGCTCAAGGCTGTTATTTGGATGTTCTTTAGTTATTTCGTTCATCTTGTCCTGAGTTGTGTGAGTACATGTGCCTTCGGGCAATAGTTTTAGAAATTATCATCTTTTGTTATGTCTGCAAGAAAGGTGAAATACTTGTGTAAGTTTCAAAAATTGTACACAGTTGACTTTCCTTCCATTATTTTCTTAAGGATATGTAATAAATTTGCGATGTGTGCCATCTGCCGTTGCAATTTTTCGATTTTGCATGGTGGAGGGGCGAATGTTCTCAAACATGTGCATACACAAAAACAGTAGGACAACATGACTTGTTTTGAAAAAAAAAACAGAAAATTAAATGTTTCTTTGGAAACGAAGGACCAAAAAGTTATTAATGCAAAATGACTGTTCTCTGCCCTTTTACTGGAGCAAAACCTGCCACTGAATGCATCGGATCACGCTGCAGCTTTATATAGAAAAATGTTTCCCGATAGTGAAATTGCTAAGAAATGCTCAAGTGCAAGGACCAAAACAGGTACAATTGCTAAAGAAATGGGTTTGAAAAATAAATCTTCAGTTATTGATTGCATTAAAGCAGCTCCGTTCTGCCTCTCTACGGATGGAAGCAATAATACGGATTCAAAAATCCAATTGTTGTTTCTTTTCTTAATCTAGAGTCTTCAGAAATTGAATGCAGTTTACTTTCTGCCTCCCCTTTAGAAGGACATTCGACAGGCTTTAATATAGCACAGTTAAATATTAAAACTTTAAAAGAAAATGCAGTCCCTCTGGATAATTGCTTAGCACTTGGTGCCGATAATGCACCAGTAATGGTAGGCTTGAAGACTGGTGTTGCAGGCATCTTAAGAAAGGAAAATTCAGATTTGCAGATTGAGGTGCACCTGCCACCTCTTAAATTTAGCAGCTGAAAAAGGGACATCTTCTTTACCAATAAATATGGAGGAACACATTGTTGATATTTATTATTATCTTGAAAGGAGTTCTAAAAGAAAAGGAAAATTGAAACAGTTCCAACAGCTGCATAATACTGAAATAAGAAAATTTTTCAAACGTGTGTACACACACTGGCTGTCTTTAAAGAAATGCTTATCTAGAATCCTCGATCAATGGAACCCGCTTCTTGCATTTTTTAAAGAAATAAATGCTTCAACTTTTAAGATAAAAGGCTCTATTGGAAGTTATAAAATACCTAAAGTAAATGGAGATGTAGTTACTACTTCCATTGTTAAAAATAGGTTTGAGAAAGATAAAGTAATTTCTGCACCATTCAGCAATTCAACTGGCAGTTCTCAAAATAATACTGCAAAATTTAAGCATAAAGCTGATACAAATTTTTCTCAAATTAAAAGAATTGCTCAACACACGAAACATTTTCCAATTACTGTAAGTTTATCTTGTGAAGAATGAATATTTATGTTTTTTTCTTCGGACTTTAACAAAGCTTTTTTTTTTTTTTTTTTTTTTTTTTTTTTTTTTTACAATTCATTTTGCCATCATTTGATGTTCTTAACACAGTTCTACAGAATAGAATTTGATTAATTCATGTTTTGCAATCAATAATTTATGATCTGTTTAAAGACATTTTATCAAATTTTGTAAAACCAGTCTGTGTTTTGTCTTGTAATTCTATATATGATGAGATTTATGGTGAAATAGAAAATCAGAAGAAAGATGAAGATTTGGTAATAGAAGCTGCAACTACAAAAGTAGTGGAAGAACTTTCAGAAGAAGACAAAAATAAGTTTTATCTTCACGTTAGAACTTACTTCTGTCGAGTATGTAATTACATACTATATAAATGTCCAGTCAACGATGAAGTGATTTTGCATGCTAAAATTTGCTGATGTTTCTGCTCTAGCAAATACATCTTTGTCTGATATAAGGTACTTTTTGAACAGATTTCCTGTGTAACTTTATTTAGTCATGAAAGATGATGATATTGATGTTGCCACTGATAAATATTGCAGTCACAATTTTGCAGTTTACAAATAGAAAACTTGGATGAAGTTATAAAATCAGCTGGGATTGACACCGAGTGGAGTTTGATTGGAAAACTGAAAGGTGCTGATGGAATTTTAAAATATAGTGAACTGTCTAGAAGTATGTTGACTATCTTGACAGTTCCCCATAGTAATGCAAAGTGCGAGACGATTTTCTGTGTTGTTGCGAAAGCGAGGCCTAAATTTAGATCTAATATTAGTGGTGACACATTAGAAAAATTTTGTTACCAAATGCAGGCCTATGTGGCAATTGCTATGAAGAAATTATGAAGTTTCTTTCTTAACGGAAACAAAATCTGCCACTGTTCATAACGTTTGTACAAAAACTGACTAAAGTGGTTGTGGTTGTTTGTTTTATTAAAAAATGCAAATATTAAAAATGTTTTTTATGTGTAAGGTATTTTTGTGTGTTGCTTGCATTTAAGAATTAGTAACTATTTAAAGTTAATTCATTATTAAAAACTATATTTTTATCATTTAAAAAGTCTTTTTAACATTGTGAAAAATCTCCTGATTTTTTGAGTGTCATAGGTTGGCAAGTATGTAAAAAGCATATTGCTATTTAGTAAAAAAATTTATTACTTAGGCATCACACCAACTCTTAAAATTTTTTAATACCATCACAAGTTATAGACTGTTGCTTGAACTATCTTTGGAGGATTTTGCTTTTAAAATCATCGAATACTTTATGTGCTGCAATTTTTAGAGTTATTTATGTATAAAACATCTAAGTATTTCCATTTATCTAATTCAGGTTTTCATATTTCAGTAATGAAATTTTTTTTTCCCCCGCCAGATACCTGTAAGAAGACAAATATTGCATTAAATGATGTTATATCATCAGTGGAGCTTATTCGATGTGAACGTGTACAAGTGCAGGTTGTACATATTTTTGTTTTATTAAACCTTAATTTTTTAATGATCCGTCTGATGCTGCACTATAAATAAGTTTATTGGATGCTTTTAAAAATTATAGTGTGAATATGTATAGTAATGAAGCATGTAAAATTTAAAGTTGCTGATATTATGCTAAGGTTCTCACTCACCTGAAAAATCATGAAAAGTTAGAAAAAAATTAAAACTAATCAGGGAATATATGAATATTTTGTAAAAAGTTCAAGTAAAATTGAATGCTTTTCCAAAAGTTAGAAAACAGTACATATCAGTCTCTTCAAATAATAAAAAGTTCATGTTTTAAATATTATGTAATAAACAAATTTTGCTGCTCTTCAGAAGAAAGCAAATGAGGAGTTGTTGCAATCATTTTCTTAAAAGTATTTTACTCAACTCATGCCATATGTAATTTTATAAACACATAGCTTTCTTCTTCACCTCTTAATAAACTGTTCTCCAGTGTATATGGGTTTTCAAAATTAAGAGGATGACATTTTGGTTGTTTTCTCAAAGTACTAAGTAAAAGTTACGATTTATGCTTCCAGACAAAAAACGCAAATCTTTAGGGACAAATGCGCAAACATACTTGCAATATTTGGGGAATGTGCCATTAAAAATATTTTCACTCTTTTTTCTACTTCGTTTACTTGCACTCTTCAGTGACTTTCGGGGTATTTTTCTGCAGCATTTTGAAATTCAAAAGTCACATTTAAAATAAGTAGTTGGAATGAGGTTGCCCTGCTTCCAGTCTCACTGATTCAATCATCTCAAGTGTAGAGTGCGAGAAACTTGAAATGTAAAGCCCAGTATCATTTTCAGTTTATGAAAACAGTTTTAAGAATATTGGACTGGTCTAGAAAAGGTCATCCAAGAGACATAGTAAGCATTGAAGATCAATATTTGTTCATTCAACAAGATCTGGTTCCTGTATTTTGCTCAATTCTGCACACAAGCATCTCTATCTTGGTACAGAATATCAACTTTGCACCTGTCACCATTCTTTTCACAAATCAATCTCATTTTATCAGTTCACCTTTATTTGAAAGAGAATACTACCTGCCTTCTACCTCTGAGAAAGAATTTACCACATATGCTTTGACGCCACATAGACCTGCATTACTGTGGCAGAGGTTCTGTGAATAATTTGAGGTGCAGAGAAGAGATCTTTGAGCCCTGTGTTCATCTTTTCTATTATGCTGCTTGCCTACATTTAATTTTTAAGAAGGGAGGATTCATCCGGTAATCTGGTGGGTAATTTTCTGGAAAGATATTAACCAGATGGATTGGCCAACCAGATCTGTAAACCCTATAGAACATGTCTGAACCGCTACTCATGTCCCCTTTGCTAGAATGCTGCAGGACCTAAAATTTTGGACTCAAAACTGCCTCATTTCCAGTATAAAGTAACATTGTAAGAGCTGTATGACTGTTAGAAGAGATCATATCTGCTAATAGAATTTTTGTAGGAGTTTGCAACCTTTGTTTAGACCTTCCTGCATGGCCGTGCATGTACACAGTGACCTTTGTATCTTTTGTAGAAGGTAACAGTTTTATACAAGGTATAAAAATACTTCAATGTGCAAGGGTGTATTAGTGGCTGTAAAAAGTCATCTAAAGCTGGTCTGTGATATCAATCAGAAGACTTTGAAAGAGCAAAACGTGTCTCACAAAAGTATATTTTGCGCTCTTATTCAGGTCAACCATTATTAAAAAAGACTGGAGTCTTCACAATGATGCTGCAGTGTAGGGGAGCATGCTCAGAGTCTTGCTTGAAATTGGCAGTTGACACTTATAATAATGTGGTGTTTTTCATAAAGATGCCTGCACCCTTACGCAAGTCCAGTTTTCATTTCATTTATTAATTAATTAAGCAGGGAAGGAAATCTTTTATACTTTTACACTGTATGAAAAACGATAAACTGTTATAAAGCTGCCTCCAACTTTATGAAGGTTGGTGGATTAGCATACAGCTACACACCTTTATAAAAAAAAGAGCTCCAAATCGCCATAAGGGGGCCAAAGTTTTCATAAAGAGATCGATTTCTTTGTGTTAATCGGAAAGGAACTTGTATATTTCAGCAAGGTAAGCATTGTTTTCATCATGATAACATTCACAAAAGCGAATAAAGTTAAATGATGAAAATTTGTTCTGAAATTGACAAATGGTTATCTGAGATTGATTTAAATATAATGAATTATACAAAAAGTATGACATTGGGAGACGTAAATAACAGTGATGGTTTGAAATCATACCTTGCAAACCAAGGAGGTTAGAATAAATGGAGTAAGCCTCACCCTATGTCACGTGCAGTGAAAATAAAGCCATGAAATGTGCTTTGCATGTTAGCTATATTAATTGTTTATAAGTCTCCCATTCTAGTTTTAATACTTAACATAAATGATTTTCTATTTAGGAGTAGAAAAATCCCAAGGAGTGCAAATAACTGTTTGAAATTTAATAAAATCTGTGTACATGAAAATTTGTAAATGTTACTAGAAAACCAGTGGACATTGCAATGGTATTTTATGCAAATTATGCCTAAAGACACATTTATGAACCTGTGAACGTTGATATTTGCTCTCAAGGTCAATGTAATTTTATTTAATACCATATATGCTCATGCAGTGTTCCCACTTTTTTTACTAAAATGCTGGTGCGGACATTACATGCTCTTTTTCTTATGAGTAATTTTAGGTATAAATTTCATTTCAAACAGAAGTTAAGCTCTGAGTGGAAGAAAATGGCGTAAGTAATAAAATTATCAAATTTAAAGCTGTCATAGCTACTTAAAATTTACAAACTCACTTTCTCCCATCCACATATATAATATAAATTACCACATTTAGGTTATCAACACTCAGCACTTATTAGTTCCCACAGGAACATGATAGAGAGGCACAAATTAACCAACACTTGCAATTTTAATATTTACATATTAATATTAAATAAACATCTTTTTAATATCTTGCACACATTATTTTTTTAAAAAATCTGTTCTGATGTGCTGTATGAAAATCCATTTTGTTTTACCATTCGGCGCAACTAGCCTTCGCACGCCTTGAATTGCGTTGTAGGAATGTCTTAATGTCTTCTCGTGCCACAGCAAGCGCTCATATTTGGCACATTTCCCATATTACTGCATACCCTTGAGCACGCATATCATGAATCTATGCAACTACTTTTTCGAAGTTCAGAAACTTGCATTTCTAATCACAAAACTCGCATCTTGTTTTGTTTGGTGCCACCAGTTGATCACACTGTTCGTTCCAATTGTGTACACATTTTTCGTCCACCTTATATATTCTTATGCTGTATATACTTATCACATCTGCCGAGTGGATTGCTGGCGCCGATACTATGACCTAATAACAGCTGCACCAGAATACAAAGAAAGTTACTGCTTTTCATCCTGATGCCAACCAACGACAAAATAAATGCATATTCTTTCTTAAAGATGTTTACCAACTAAAGGGAAAAAGCAAGAAATTCTTTAAGCAATTTTCTTTAAAGCAAGAAATTCTTTAGTTTTGGGAGTGTGGGTCACTTTTTTCTACAATTTATCTGTGAAATTGGTGTGCAGACCTTACATGAGTGTCCACAGTATGTTTTGTACTCTTATCCATATGCCGTATGGCAGCCATGATACATCGTGACATTATGTTGTTGACATTTCATTGACTTCATTTTTGTGACGTTATGCTCACACCATCTATTTTAATATGGTCCTAATAAAACCAAGGTACATGGTCTGCCGTGATGCATACCATGTACCTTGTTTTTGGTTTGTCGATTTATGATGCTGCTTCCAAACATATACTGAATGAAGTCCAAGATCTGAACGTCCAATATCCAAAATGATCTAAAATCCAGACCTTCAAGCTACCAACTTTTTTTTAGGGTTTGTTTTGGCATACTCTATGAATGTGCATTTGATTATTTTCCCCGTAATTAAACATGTGGAGAGTCTCGATTCTTAATTTCACTTCGGCACTAAATAATTTGTTACTGAAGAAACAAAAATTTTAGCATCAATTTGTGTGATCAATAATTTGACTCTGTAGCTGTGTATCTGCTTGGCATACATCTCAAACCGAAATATAGACACGTGATTAATTTTACACCCACTAATAATTTTTATCACTGACTGCAACCTTGTGAATCATTATTTATTATATTTTGCTTTCATCACTGCATGTTTATCAACACATGACAAATTGAGTAATGACTCATTCAGAGATGCCTGAACAATTTTTAGCAACAAACAATATTAGTAACTGAATCACAAAGAGTACGGTAGCTTTTTTTGTTGGCATTAACCATGGCAATGATTACAGATTTAAGTTAAATGCACTAAGAAAGGATGACCACGAAACATTTAACACTTGGGAACAGAATTCAGGAAATATAAAATTTTGGTAATTGAGAGAAGCAACGAAATTAAAGGATGGCAATTTTTTTAAATTTAGGTAAAGCACTGGTACCCAAAATTTAGGAGTGGCAGAAATTCAGAACTTAGGGAGGCACTTGGTAGCAGAATTTAGGACCTGCAAACAGTAAATATATAGTGTCGACCTTCGATAAGCCTGCCTTAAGTACAGTAAGACCCCGCTTAACGCTGTTTCGGTTTAGCGCTCTTTTATTTCAACCCGGGGATTCCATGAAATCGCTCGCAGCATACAGGGATTCCCGGAAATATTATGCAGCGATAGGTTTCAAATACATATCCGAAAAGAGTGTACTTGTATTTCTTGTTTGGTGCGGTATTGTACAGACATATTTTGAAGGTGTAAATGTGGAAGATGTCGAAGAAATAATTCAAGAAGCAGTGCCTAGTCTTTCTAATGATGAGCTCAAGGAATTAACTGAACAAGAAGAAAACAAAAATGTTGACAGCAGTGATTCAGAAGAAGAGCAAAAAGAACTTTCGATGGCGTTTGTAAAAAGGAGTTTGTCTACCATAACTGAAATAATGGATCAATTCATT